AGACACAGCTCAAGCTTCAAAAGTGGAAAAAAAACAACAGAAAACAGGAAAAGATGCTGGGGGAGAGAGACAGAAAACAAGAAAGGGGAAGGAACAAACGTAAGGATGTTTTCAGATTTTCATGTCCTTGCCTAACACAGTGGACTCTCAGGTATACAGCCTGGTGCTGCTCGAAATGCTCAACACCAGTAATACCCTGCTGTGAAGAGTGCTTGAGATGAAGGGAATTAAAATAGTACCTGGCATTCAGTGCAGCACTGCACTTGCTGAGCCTGGGCTGCTGCCAGGTGGGCAGCGGAGGACCTTCACCACATCATCCCCCAGGCATGCTCCCTGCTCCATCCACACTCCTGCGTGCCAGGATGCAGACTTTGCTCTCTAACAAATCGGGTTCATCTCCAGCAACTCCGGTGAATTTTGTGGTTTGCCCGTGTCAGCCAAAACTGTTCTTGTTTTTCCTGGGGATGACTAACACGACAACGATGCAAGTGTGATTTTGCACGTTGGAATTCAGGCAACGTAACTCTGCCATGAATCAGAGGGTATCTCTGTAACAGAGCTGGATTTGGCCTTCCTGACAAACTCTCCTTGTTTCATCATATTTGCAAATACGCAAGGAAAGGAAAGATAGTTGACTCCATCCCACCAGCACAGAATTTCTGATCCTGCCCCAGCCTTTGAGAATGGAAGGCATCCTTATCATTTATTCTCATTTTCTCACTTTCTCATCTAGCCTGTATATCCTAGACAGAAAACAGAGAGGCCATGTGAAAGGCTCCTTCTGTTGGCTCAGACAGAAACTGGGAGGTTTTCCAAGCTCAATTCTGTAGGCTCCAGGAGATCAGATTGTCTGGAGAAGGTCCGGGCACGTATCTGAACGTCAACATGCTTACTAAAGCAAAATGGAACTCAGAAATTCGGTCTGTCCATCACTGCTTCATATCCCATTCTCACTAATACTCACCTACCTTTCCTCCCATTAAACCTGGGCTCCACTCTGAGCCCAAAGCCACCACAGGAATCGACTGAATGCCACTTACTATTGAAAACAAAAGCAGCACTGCCAAGCTGTACCAATTAGTAAGGTTCTTGTTCTACCTTGCAAAAGCACTGCTAAAAGGGGCAGTAGTGCCTCAAATCTACAAGACATGAACTAATGTGAGCCAAAGGCAACCATGTTCCAATCAAAATAAAAATGCCCTTAGGAGATCCTCTTTGCATGCAACACATGCAGTTTTATTTGCATATCAGGTATTGGATTTGCTATTCTGCAATTCAGAGGCTCCATAAAGCTACTTGAGCTACTGGTGAGGCAATCACAGAGAGTTCACATTCGCCACTGAGCACATTGGCTTTGCAGTTCCTGGGAATACCACACCCTCCTACAGCCACTATCCAAATCGGGATAAATAATGCTTTTAGCCACAGTCCAGGCTCCAGACAATAGCTTTTCATTGCTACGCCTTAACCCCAGTGGATCTTTTCAGAGCCAGTGATTCATTTCAGAGGCTGCTGTGGGGTTTTGTCCTCTCTGCCTGCCCTCTAGCTCCACTGGTGAATAAATCCCATTCTACCAGATCAATCACAGTCACTTTACAAAATGAATGCAGAGCTGCAGAGGAGGCGAGTTTCACAGTCCCTTCTCCCAGATTATACTCAAAAAAGGCTCCAGAATGGAAACACTCTACTTGATCACAGTATCTACCCCAGCCCCATCTGGGCAAAATAAAGTCCTTTTCAAGCAAGCCAACTTGCTAATGTGCTGCAAAGGCAAAAGGCCTTTGGTACTTCAAATATAGAGAAGCGGAACCACATGCCACTTCCCAGGGAGAGTTTAGACGATGAGATGTGGTATACATCAAATTAATGCCAGAATAACCACTGTAGCTGCTGACTCCAGAAAGCATGTTCAGATCCTCCCACTCTCTGTGTACCATTCCTGGCTCCCAGTGCTGGGGTTGGCAGAGCAGATAGCTCTGATGGTCAGGCTAACCAGAAGCTCTGCTATGGACGCTCATACCAAACAGGTCTGTCTGCCTGCTGTCAGGGCAGGAGCTCGATTTCATGCCTGGCCAGTTAACCCGGGGTTTGGTTTTGTCTTCCCCTCTCCCCTGCCAGGCAGGAGATGTTGGTGCAATTGCCAGGTTTGGTTTGGAGGAGCTCATCTGCAATTCTGGCTGGAGTTCAGAGCCATGGGGATGGGAGGCCCTCATGCCTCCTAAACCAATGAGTCCCTGATGTTGATGGGCATGGATGACAGCTGTTCCCAACTGGACTGTAAAGCCCTGAAGGGCCTGAGGCTGCAAGACAGGGAATAGCCCCCTGGCTCTGGACTGAAGGAACAAATGTGACACCAATCTGATCTTTTTCTTTCAGTACAGACACATCAAGCCACGCAGTCAGCTTGCAAGTTCGGGCCCAGCATGGGAGTGCTGCAGCAGCTCAGGCTACCCTGAGCATCCATGCATGCATCCCAAGCAAACCAGAGTGCTTGCCAGTGGGCTACAGTAATAAATTTGCCTTGCCACAATCTGACAGGCTATCATAAAACACAGTAGTCTTTGCAAAGTCTAATGGTCAGCAAGTAGACAGTGGTCATGGGACATGCAATGTTCCCAGGCTGGAGTGATGTGGGGGAGACAGAGCAGCCTGCGCTGGCTGCAGTGACAGTAATCAACTGGCAACAGTGACAGTAATAGTCACTGCAGGGATAAAGTTGATATGCAAAGACAGACCATTGTGATGGTGGTTAAAGATCAGGCCAGGGGGCTTGGGCTGGCATGTTACAGCTAGATGTTTCCTCGCCAGCATTCCTGCAGCCTCTGTCTTATGCAATGCCAGCTACATTCACTGCAATTCAATTACAGTCTATAAAAGATGGGAGTAAATCTACTCCTCAGCTCAAGTGCTGACACTGCTGCTTCAAACCTACCCCTTCCACAGTCCCCAAGCATCAGTCACCATCACCCGGGGCCAGCCTGGCCAGTCCTGCTCCACCTACTCATGCCCAGGGCCAAGGCTCTGCTCAACACCCTCTTTTGTAATGCTGCCACTTCCCTCCCCATCTCGCAACGTGCTGCCCATCCTCTTCCACCTCCACAGATGGCCACATCCTGCCCTTCCTGTTTCACTCCTCTAGCTCCATAGCATTGCCTAAAACCCTTGCTGGGTGTAAGAAGGACCTGAACTCCTGCAGGATTTGGGGAGTGGTTTGTTTCCACTGTAGGGACAAAAAAGGTATTGTAATTCATATACACATATGCACACACTCCTTGCCCCCATCCAGGACCATGTCCAGCACTCCAGCCCTGGAGGAACTGTATTTCATATCAGACACAGGCTCATTTTCACACATTTGGAGTACGTGTCATGCAGCATCTTACCATCTGCTCCCAAGCTGTCTGCCTTCATAAATTTAACTTGCCTGCTTCTTCAGTGGAATGATTTTCAACTGGTCTTATCTCCTCTCCAAAACCACATCTGAGACACCATCCCACTGCTCAAGTTACTTGAACCTGCCCCAAACACAGCATGTGAGGCTAGTACGGGGCTCGCTTCGCACACATGCTGAGGCAGAAGGATTTCGGATAACAATCCTCAAATACTTCAGAAAATGGACAAAAAAGGGACAGGAAGATTAAGTTCCTCAGTGCTGAGTCTGCTTTCAGACTCCTGTGTCCACATTATGGTGTGACTAATTTGCTTCTGCAGCAAATTTTACTCTGCTTTTAGTCCTGAGAATCTTGTGCCAATCCCACACTTCCCTGCTGCAGAGCAAACTTCCAGCTATGCCTCCTCCCCAGGTGCTTTACTCAATACAGCCTTATCATAGAGATAAACCAGAGCAGATGGTTAGGGTTAAAAACACAGAAGAGACAAAATGTGTTTTCAGATAAGATTTGATCTGAAGCAGCAAAAAGGACAAGGAAAACAGAGAGGCCCCGGGAAGGGGCCGATCTCACCAAGGAGCCAGACCCCTGGAGAGATGGACAGAGAAAAGAAAAGCTCAGATCTGTTTTGCAGACTCTGAAAGGAGACTGTGCCCAGAGCAGCCGAGTTAACAGCAGCAGCTGGCCACCACCAGAAACGTGCAGGGTGTGTTACAAACATCATGCGTTGCTCCTAAGGTAAGTTCAATAAAAACAAGTGTCACAAGACACAGGAAGGAAGGAGCAGACAAGGGAAGTTGTCAAGGTATGAAAGCTATAGAGCTGCTTGTTTTTCCTGCTGCTCTGGATCTGTCCTGGAGAGAAAGAAGTACATTTGGAGGAAGGCTACAAAAGCTGTGGCACACAGCACCCAGACCGAGGAGTCATTCCAGCAGATCACAAGAGAAGACATGCAGAGATTGCCAGGAAAGCACAAACCAGCTTGGGCTCTCTGTGCACACAGCATGAAACACTTGGGTGTCTGCTTATCAAAGGCTGAGGACTGATTTTCCAAGATTTTGGCTAGTCTCATCCCCCACCCCAACAGCTACAAGTGGATAGATGTAAAAAATGAAGAAAGACCCCAAATCTACCAAACTTCTGTAAATGCAAAGGGGTCCATAAAGAGAGCAGGGGGGTGGAGAGCTACTTTTTCCCCTCTGCCAGCTCAGCACTATCACTCATACAAAGCCACGACGGAGTTACCTGCACTGATTTCATCAGAAAGGCTCTGCGAGCTGTGTCCCTTACCCGGCAGCTCTAACCGCTCTCTGCACAGAGGGGAGCAACTCCGCTTCCATGTCTGAGAGACGATCAGCACCTCTATCCTTGTTGCTCCAGGAGAGAGCAGCCCTTCACCCCCCTGCACCTCTCCCTGCCAGCTCCCAACGGCTGCCTATGCAACACGGCGCTCGGACACCCCAGGCAAACCCCGGCGCCGGTAACCTGGCGGCTGCCGTTCTGCCACCGGCCGGCATGTCATGTCATGTCATGTCATGTATGTCCTGCCCTCCCCGGCGCTGCATCAACCACCGGCGCACACCCGGCCCTACCGGGAGGGCCGTCACTCACCGTGTATCCTCCTCCCCGCGCCCGGCCAAGCCGAACCCTCGGTGAGCCGCCGGCCCAGCGCGGAGCTACGCTGCGGCCCGGCCGCCCCCCGCCTACAGCGCTGCCGACGGCGGAACCGGCCTCGCGTGGGACTCAGGGGGCGGTGCCGGCCGCCGCCGCCGCCGTGGCCAATCGGAGAGAGCCGAGACCGTGACGTAAGAGGGGGCGGGCAAAAAGCGGGAGTGCTAACCAATAGAAAGAAAGAAAGGCGGCTCAGGGGCAGGATAAAAGCGGCTCGGAACGCCCTGGGTCCTAAAGCCCGCTGTCTCCCGTTTCAGCCCCGAGGAGCGATTCTGCTCTGCGCTTCGCATCCCCCTTGCGTGTGCGCGGCCGCCCCACGCCGGCTGGGTTGGCACTTCCCGGGCGGTTGCAGGTCCTCCCCTCTGTTTCGCCGCGGAGACGGCTCTTCGGCCTCTTCTAGAGCCACGTCCCCGTGGCAGAAACATTTCCATCGCCCCCCGAGTCAGCGCTCTGCTGGGTCGCCCTGGGCAGCACTCCTGCTCCCAGCCGCACGTCCCAGGCAGGATCGGCACCTCCCGGTGTGTTGTCCTTGCGTGCCGCTCACTCACCTTCAACCCAGGCCCCCATCAGACGGCAAAAGTCAGCAAAGCTCTGCAGAAGTTCAGGCAGATTCTGAACTCCCCATCCTCAGCTCAGCAGAACTTCAGTCCGTGGGGGACGTGGAAGTCAACGGACTCCCACGGGGTCCCTTTGCCTGCAAGGATTTGCAGAGCTGGGTATCAGATGGGAATGGCTGAGTCCATATCCCCCAGGAGGGAACAACCAGGCAGTGCCTTCAGCTGGAAGAAACAGGGGACACACACTTTTAAGCGCTTCCTTTAGTACCATGGGCCAAACGGGGGGAAAAAGGCTCATTTAGAAACAATAACATTTTTCACCTAACGCAAGGAGGAGCGCGGGTGGCAGCTCTGCCTCTGCTCGTGTTTTCCAACCGGGAGGCACAGCAGGTAGTGGAGGAACTGGCCTGTGGCATAATTTCCCTTAAGTGGCAGTGCTTCCATGGGACATCTGTAATATTTCAGCTACCAGAAAAAAAGAAGCTGAAAGCTTTATTGGCTACACAAATCCAGGAGACACAGAGGAGGCAGGGAAGAGGTGCTCCTCGTCTTCTCCCACGACCCCATTTCTCCAGGGCCCTACTCCCTGGGCTCAGTTGTAAGTATTCAGTAATGAGATTCAAGGAAGAAACTAACAGTTCTACCAAGTGTATCTCCCCAGATAATAGCTGGATGGAAATACCCAGCTCCAAAGTGTGCCAAACCACCCATACACCCAGGAGTGGGCTATTTAGGGACTGCTCCTTCCGACCTAGTAAGAGAAATCTGCGTCTCCCACTGAAGTAACTGCTACTGCTTGTCCTTGCTTCACAGTGATGAGTCCTGTGAAGTGCTGCCTGGACAGCCAGTTTTACATGGTATGCACATGGGAGGAGGTGGGAGGTGGTTGCTATGAGGATATATTGAAGCAAAAAATCCCAATAAATACATAATGCAGTCCTTTCTTCTCTTCCCAGGTTGGACAGATCAGCTTCAGCTGGCAGACGCTGTGTATGGTAAATAACAAAGTACACTGAGGATGTTAAACTGTATCAAATTCCAGGTTTTTTTGGATCTGTGATGTTCCAGGTCACTGCAGTTTAACCCTCAGAGTGCTGCTCTCTTCCCAGCTACAAGCACAGCTGCTCTTGAAGAGGCTGAAAATTGTCCTGGGGCCTGTTAATGGCTTCAATGAGCTGTTCAGGAGGACCACAGGGATTTGTGCAAGAGGCTGATGTGGTGGCATCCTGAATGCATCTGTGAAACAACAACAACATGAAAGGCAAAATTGATTTTCTCTTTTACTGCTGAGTTCCACCCAGCTGCTGGAGTCTGAAAGAGCTGTGGAGCAGAATAAGGGCATGTTTCTTAATTCCAAAGCACTTTTCCACTGCAAAATCTTGCCTCAGCAAGCTGTGTGTGTGAATCCAAGCTGGCAGGGAGAATTCATAGCAGCTACCTGTCATAGCGATCTACAAAGCTCAGAAGAGCTCTCTGCAAAACTCTACCTGAAAAGATGCTTCTAAGACACAATGTCTAATGTTAATCTCCCACCCACCAGCTTTCTAGCTGCGTAACTCACTCCTCTGTCTCTGGCAGAGCTAAACAGTGGGCAGTTCCAGCAAACACTGCAGGGAACATCCTGTGTGCTGTAGCAATGCACACATCTGGTGTTAAGATGCTCAAGCAGATGGGATTAGGATACTAGCTTTTGTTCTGAGGGAGCAGCACAAGGCCAGATATGGCAGTGGGGGGCACACAGACTGGCAACTTGCTCCTCACTGTGAAGGAGAAGCTGAGCCAGCCATCTGAGAAGGCAGGAAAAAAACAATGGGAATGCTTAATAGCAATGGAAAAAGCTGGCAGACTTTTTAAAATGTTTTTAAACCTCTTGTTAAAGAGGATTTAAGAACTAGGCATGTGTAGGGAAAAGAAACTTTATTTATGATGAATGTTAATACCAGCTCCTTACATACGATACTGCCCTCAAGCATCCCTGAGGGTATTTGAGGGACTAGTGCTGTGGTTATGATTTCAGTGGATAGGGGAAATTCTCTTGCATTATTAAACAAATCATGCCCTGTGCTGGCCTTTGGTTTGATGTGTGTAACATGCAGTCAGTGTTAGCCATCTGGGGGAACAGGATTCCACAACTTGTTGGCATTTTGAAAATAAGTTGGAAAACTGCTGACTGAGATCCCCTCCTTCCTCACAACCTATCAAAGGGAATAGGGGTTAAATCTTCTAATCTGTGGGACATAAAGCCAAGACCAACAAAGTTTTAATAAATAGCATTTACCTTTTGCCATATTTGTTTATCATAACATTCATTATGGGTGGAACGTTTAAATGTTTGCAGTGTTAAACATTTGATTAGATTTGTTATAGAAATCAACCCTAATTGCCTGGTTCCCATTAAATCCTCACTTTCCCAAATGTGGAGAGTCAAAAGTTTTACTATTTTAGATTCATTAGATGTTTTTCTCCATTTGTATCATAGACCTAGCTCCTGAAGCAGTTGACTAAGTAGATGATGCTCATGGAATCAGCAGGAGGAGTAAAATCGGGCCAGCAAACCATGTTGACTTCTTTGCATCTTCTGTTTGTCACTGGGCATTCCATTCCCATCCTACAAACCCCAGCTGTTCAAGGGGTTAAATAACAACAATCTAGTGGTTTCCCCTCTAGGTCACTGGTCACAGTCCACCACGGGTCATGCCATGACCAGCTAACGGCTGTTAAGTGCTCTGTGTGAAATCAGTTTAGTGGGTCTGAAGCCAGATGCTAGTTGACAGATGCCCAAAACCCAGTACTCCAATTGGCCTCCTTGTTGGCAGTCACAGCAGGCTGGTCAAGGCCATGCAAATTCAGCAGCTCCCCGAGGCTAGGAGCACAGACAAGGTTGTTTATGAATGCTTCCCTGTGTTGTGAATGCCAAAAGTCTTCAGAGAAGGTCATAGCACAATGCTGCGGGTGCCAGAGGCTGAGGACCAGGCTCTGATTCAGCTATCCAGGGAAGTGGTGGTAGGAAAACACCGCTGAAGACCCCCAGCAGATGCACCCCTGATGTCAAGGAGAGGATGTAAGGTTGCAATGGGAGTCTTGATGGAAGTTTTCACCCTTTGGCTTGTCCTGCCCAAGGAGCTGACAGTCAGACTATCCCAGTGTAGCATTCCCTGCAGGAACAGTAAAAATCCAATCTCCCTCCCTCTCGGCCTTTTTCCTTCTGATGCCAAATTTAAATGACCTTACTTTTTTGGCAGCAGGAAACTTCACAATTAAATACAGAAGCAGAGCAGGCTTTCAGATGGAACTTACAGCAAGGGAACAACAGATGGCATTGTTTGCTGGGCTGGAAAAGCTGCATCTGCTCCTAGAAGAAATGCTAATCGGAGCTCAATTAGGCATTCAGGGGGAACCATACCCCATCCCCAGGACAATGGCCATGTGTACACGATCCTGAAAAACACAAGGAAGTAGATACAAAGTCATCAAAAATCCCCTCTGGAACAAGTCCAAATGAAGCATATAATGGGATAGGGTAACCTACAGAGTTTCCTTGTGCTGAAATCCATCCGAGCCACTCAGAATAAAAATGTAATTAGCAAAGACTTATTGTATTTCATTTGCAAGTGGGCAGTGATTTTGTTTTCAGTTTCAAAGCAGATAATTCTAGCATAACACTGGTATCAGATTCTACCCTGGCTGCTCTCTGAGGTGTGGTGATATTAAAGGGTAGCTGAGATCTTTATAGCGAGTACTACAAATGGGGATGATAGAGTTAGTTAGAAGGATTTATAACACATACCTTGCCTAGGACAACTGATCCCTTTATAGAAACACAAAGGAAGAAAATAAGAGGATGGCGGAAAATGTTCCCTGGTTCACTCCAACTAGGTGTTCAAGCACAAAATGAGTCCCGTGGCCTGCAGCGCCTGTGCATGGTCTAAAACAAAGCACAGGACATTGTTCCTCCTTCCCTCCCTCAGCCCTTCCAGCTTCCTCCAGAGGTGCAGGCAGGCAAGGCTCTGCGTGTTCTCATTTCAGTGTCTTCTGTTTAGGGTATTAAGCCAGCACCCCAGTCTGGCAATGCTGTTTGCAAAACAGGGCTACCAAGAGATGGCCCCAGCTGCCAAATGTGCTGGCACTGCAGAGATCCCCATTGTGCTGAAGCTTTGCATTCAAACCCCGTTCTTGTTTTAATATCCTCTTTCTCGCCTAGCTTGGGTCATGGCAGCACACCCTGGCTGCTCTGTGTATCTGGGTGCACTACGGTACATCATGGGACAACGTGCACCTCATGGGTAGTCCTAATGGGGACTCCCACCTCTTGCTGGTTGCACACCCTACTCCTAACAGCCCTGGGAACATGCTGCATGGGTAAATCAACACCCAGGCCTTTTGCACCTGAAAGATGTTCATAAATAGGATCGTTACTGATTTCAAACAATACACTCCAAACATTGGCAGAAAAACACCAGAGATCAAAGGCGTTTTGGAACAAGTGACTTAGAGCTGTTGTAAAGGAAAGGGTTTTCTTGGCACTGAGGCAA